GTAAAAAAATGCTACTGGTTGTGAGTTATTTCACATGTTTTGAACAAAATTAAAATTTTCTTCATTACTGACTTTTAAAACCATCAATCCAAAACATACAAGGGCGGAGAATCAAGCAATATACTTAGTCGTTTGGAACTGATTCATATTTAGACAAATCTGGTAGAGCGAAACAACACCAAAAGTAACATGCTACGATTTAATTACTAAACAGGGTGAATGCTTCCTATTCCCAAAATCTGATTAACGAGGGGAGGCTTTTAATATTCAAATATTCACCAAAACACTTCAAAAAGACATTTAACATACAGATTTGTGGGCAACAATCACATCCCAAACTATTTAACTTAAAGATTTTTAGCTAGAAAGAGTGAACACAACAAACTACAGCTAGTAAATTGGCATGATGAACAAATTTGACATGACTCGAATGGTCTTTACTATCCATGCCTAGTCTAACATAATTTAGACGAGGCATGTTCATAATTTAACTATAACATGATGAATCTATCATTAGCATAATTGGTTGACTGGAAGTTTTAGACTTGATCATTCGAAACAAATCCTACATTCGTCTTAATGTTTCAAAGAAAATCACATGATGCATTCTAAAAAAATCTGAAGCTAGTTAGAAGAGGCTGACTAAATACTCCCTTATATACAAAATTCTCAACAGACAGACCATAAAGGGTGTGATTTCTTACATTTTAATTGCACTCAATAGTTGAAGCTCATATCACATCCCTTAAAAGGGTTTATCAATGACTCAGTCTGCGCACACATCTCATACTAATGTTGTTTATTAATGATAGCAAAAGAAAAAAAAACAGGGAGGAGGGAATCGTACATGGTCTAACGAAATGGGGAGACACATTCATCATAATCACACATTTAAACTAGCGACAATAATACACAAACGATTGCATTCACATTTATTTAAATGAAATGAAAGAAAATGCAAGAACAACAACAACATATTTCAACATAAACAAGAATGATATATAAACAAAAAAATGGCTGAACCAAATACTGACCTTGTATGGAGCAACAAACTAAGGCTCGACGTCAAGTGCTTTCAACTTCAAACTTTCTCCCAAATTCTAATTTAAAACAGAAAGTAAAAGGACCAGAAAAGAGGAAAACTTTTGAACTCTAAAAAAACTTGAAGTGTGCGGCGATTTTTGCTCTCCTTTTTTGGGGTAGTTCTTGATTGATTCTTGGATTTTCTCCTTGATTTTCCGATGTTCCTTATGAGAACCAAATGGTTCTCTTTTATAGCTAATTTGGGCTCCAAGAATTCAAAATTTGAATTCTTGGAAACCCCAATCCCAGAGCAAACAGGAAATCAATTATGAAGGAGAAGAAAATCCTCTCAAAAATTGATCTTTTTAGGTCAATTTGAGAGGGTTGAGTGATTGATGGAACATTTTCGGCGGCCAAGAGCCATTCTCTGACGAAGGGGATGGGGGAGCACGTGGGGGAGGCCATGGGGGCCATGGGAGAGGAGCTTGGAGCGTCATTCTTTGGGGAAGAGGAAGAGGCGTGATGGGAAAGCAGAACGTGATCTCTGAAGAAATACAGAGTATAGGGCGGTGGTGGTAGAGTAGGGTCTAAAAGTCTTAGGTTTGATCTCGTCCGTCCAATCGTTTGATCAGACGGTTAATAAAATAAAGGGTTTTTTTTTAAAACGAATTAATATATATATATATATATATATATATATATATATATATTAAAAGATAAATTAATTAAAGCCTTTGGATTAAATCGGATGGTTGAAATCGAATATGAAGAAGCACAATCCATGTGCTTCTTATGTGGCACGCGTGGATGGCCGAATTAAAAGACTTGGATTGCCAAGTTTTGTTTGAATTAAATTTATTTAAATTATACCCTCTTCTTTATCAAATAGACATAGTTTATTAAATTAAAAATAATAATTTTGCAAGACTAGCTTATTTGTTAAAATTAGTGATTCTAAAAAATAAAATTAATATAAATTAGCAACTCATTAATTAATTAAGTTTTTTCCTAATTTTGAAAAGAATGTCGAAAAATATTTATCGCTATAATAGAAATTATATTTAATTAGAAAAATCGAGTTAACCCTTAAAAAACAATATTTATTTGACGTGAAATTGAAAAATGAGAAAGTAAGTAGTAATATTTATATAATATGTTTAAATTTTTTAAAAAATAAAAATAGTATTTATGAAATAAATTTATCAAATAAAATAAATAATTAAAAAATCTTTTGTTTTTTTACAAAAATTCATAGCATATATATATATATATATATATATTATTATTATTATTATTATTACAACTTTAGTTAAACAAATGTGGAGAGCCAAAATTGGGTGTCAACAACTTGCCCCTTTCTTTGTCCATGGAAGAGAGTAGGGAAGAGAGTAGAGAAGACGTGGACAAAGAAATATTGACACGATCCAATTTTAGGCGACCCAATAAAATACACCTTGAGCAAAACTCGGCAATAAATGTTTATGGAGTTATGGCCGAACTCTAGCTTCTGAGTTGCCTACATATCTCAGGGTTCATGAGAAATCAGGCCATATGTAGTTCGGGAGTGTAGGAACATAGAAATTTTTTAAAAAAAATTTGCCCCAGTATTGACTTATGGTAATATTGAAATGTTTTGGTGGTGAGGTTTGAAGAGATTGGCACGAATAAAGGGACGATATATAGTTTTAAAGAACATGAATGAGAAATGCTCTGTAGCAATTTCTACTGGAGACTTATGGTAGAGGGATGATTTTTTTAAAAAAGAATGCCCCAATGTCGGGTTATAATGAAGTGAGACCTGAGAGAGTTATCTGAACTTTTGAAAATCGAGTGAGTTGAGTTTTGAAAGTGAATCCTTGACGTAGCTAGTGATGCTTGACATCGCACTAACTTGCCCTAGTTTGCTGCTTAGAGGGAGTTCCTCGTTGTAATGCGTTTTCATGCAAAACATGTAAAAAGGTAAGAAGTACCTGTTGCGGTTCAAAAATTATAAATTGAAATTGGAATGTAAAGAGTAGAGTGTAGATGTCCAAACGATTGTTGATGTCCCCATTTTTTGTGTTGTGAATGTGATGTAGGTAAAGTAACTTGTAATGTAAAGGCCCTCAACTGGCACAACTTTTGTAATGTAAAAGTCTGTATACGACTATGTAAAGCTTGTAATGTAGACCTCCGCTTGACGGGGCTATTGTAAAGCAAAAACATGTATCCAGCTTTGTAAAGCTTGTAATGTAACATGTTATTGTTAGTGTATGAAAGTGTCACTATGCTTGCATGCCCCCGGTCGGTGGAGCTTCAGTGACGTCACTACGATGTGGTCTCTGATTGGCGGAGTGTTGCTTCTTTGCTTATATACAAGTTTTGATTGGCGGAGTTCGGTCGATGTTTGTTATGTATTGCCTCCAGTTGGCAGAGTTTGACGATATTCACTATGTACAACCTCAGATTGGCGGAGTTTGATGATGTTTGCTATGTACAACCTCTGGTTGGTGTAGTTTGACGATGTTTGCTATGTACAACCTCCAATCGGTAGAGTTTGAGTGACATTTGCTATGTACAACCCCAGGCTTATGGAGTTTGACGATGTTAGACGGTGGTCTCCGATTGGCAGAGTTGTTGATGAGGTTAGATTACAAGCTCCAGTTGGTGGAGTTATTTTGACAGAAATCTAATTATTCTATTTTCCTACGAGGGCCCTTTTTTCTTCAGCATTTCATCCGGATCTTGAGCGTACATACAAAAAAATTAAATAAAATATTCTTAGACATAACATACAAGTTGAAGTACTTCCGGGAAATTAAGTAGGGAAATAGTATTTTGGCTCATGATTATAGAGGTCGAGTGGTGCCTCCGGTTGTGCCCCGAGACTTGATGTTATTTTCTTGATTCTTGTGTTCCTGCGCTCAAAGAAACTTTTTAGTTTGGGAGGGGGTGTTGATTTGTATCGACTCGCGGACTGAAACCTGGTCACTGGAATCTTTCGACGTCTTCTTAGCATGCACATAACTTCTTAACCTAGAGACTTGATAGGTGGAAGATCAGAAAAATCTTTTGAAAAGAATTAGTTTTTTATTTCTTTTTTAAGAAAATAAGTATATTACTTATTTATTAGGTATATATATATATATAGTAATTCTCTAGCGTTTTTAGATTATGACATGTTCCGAAGTCCATCGAGCTTTCTGTTTTGTTGACTATATCCAACATAGTCTTCTTGTAGCTTTTACCCTCATGCTGAAGCTTGTCTAGCTCTTTTGCAGACAATGCGACGATCGAGATTCTTCATATTTTGAGGTTATGCTAACTATGAGGAAGTGTTTCCTAAGGGTAAGAAAAAAAATGGAAATTATGCAGTGCATTGATCGAGCCTGACTCAGGCTGCCTACGTATTCCCAAAGTATGAATCAGATCGTAACGTAGTTCGAATACAAGTGGGAGAAATAGAAGTATGTTAATGACCGAGTCTGACTCAAGTTGCCTACGTATCCAAGTGGAATCAGGTCAGGACGTAGTTCAAATACAAAAGGAAAGTGAAAAATATGAAATGCAATGACCGAACCTGACTTAAGCTGCCTACGAATCTGAATGGAATCAGGTCGTAACGTAGTTAATTACAATAGAAGACTGAAAATATGAAGGAAAAGTAAGAAACATGCAATGCAATGACCGAGCCTGACTCAGGCTGCCTACGTATCCAAGCGAAATCAGGTCAGGACGCAGTTCAAATACAACAGGGGAGAGTGAAAAATACGAAATGCAAGGGACCGAATCTGACAAGGATTGCCTACATATCCCACCGACGGAATTCAGGTCGAGCGTAGTTTTAAATACATGGAAATGATGATTTTGGGTTTTTTAAGAGAGATCGAATCCGTTGTGGGTTGCCTACGTACCCCGCCATGGGAAGTCAGGTCTAGACGTAGTTCTGTTACAATAAAATGCAAAAGTAGAACAAATAAGTACTAATCTTGAAGTCTTCAGATGTAGTATTTCTTGATGGCGTCTGAATTGATTGGCTTTGTGCTCACACTACCGTTCATTTCTGCTAAGATTATCGCTCCTCCAGAGAGTACTCTATGAACTATGTAGGGTCCTTGCCAATTTGGTGAAAATTTCCCTTTGGCTTCTCCTTGGTGAGGAAAGATCTTCTTCAATACTAATTGCCAAGGTGTGAACCGTCGAGGTTTGACTTTCTTGTTGAACGCTTTGGTCATTCTATTTTGATAGAGTTGGCCATGACAAACCGCGTCCATCCTCTTTTCATCGATGAGCATCAATTGTTCATGCCTGCTACGTATCCATTCTGCATCATCCAGACCAACCTCTTGGATAATCCTTAAAGATGGTATTTCCACCTCAACAGGTATTACTGCTTCCGAACCATAAACCAACATATAAGGAGTTGCCCCAGTTGATGTTCTGATCGTGGTGCGATAACCAAGTAAAGCATATGGTAGCTTCTCATGCCATTTCCTGTGACTGTCCACTATTTTCCTTATGATCTTCTTGATATTCTTATTTGCAGCCTTAACTGCTCCATTCATCTATGGCTGGTAAATCGTGGAATTTCGATGAGCAATCTTGAACCTTTCACAAGTTTCCTTCATAAGATCGCTGTTGAGGTTGGCTGCATTGTCTATTATGATTGATTTTGGAATTGCAAACCGACAAACTATATTGTTGCGAACAAAGTGTGCCACTACCTTCTTAGTCACTGCCTTGTATGTCGAAGCTTCGACCCATTTTGTGAAATAATCGATACCCACCAGAATGAAACAATGTCCATTTGATGCAGGAGGCTCTATGGGTCCGATAATGTCCATGCCCCAAGCAACAAATGGCCAAGGGGAACCCATCACATTTAGCTCATTCGGTGGAACTCGTATAAAATCTCAATGCACTTAACACTGATGACACTTTTGAACATACCAGATGCTATCTCTCTCCATGGTCATCCAAAAATATCCAGCTCTTAAAATCTTCTTTGCCAAAGTGAACCCATTCATATGAGGTCCACATGTTCCAAAAGTCTTGTCGCTTCTACGGCGTCGACACACCTCAGCAATCCCAAACCCGAAGTTCTCCTATATAGGATTTCTCCGTTAAGGAAGAAATTATTGGCCATCCTCTTCAAAGTCCATTTTTGCATGCTTATAGCATTTTCAGGACATTCTTGTGCTTCTATCAATTTTCTGATGTCATAGTACCATGGTTTTCCATCCATTTCGTCATCTACATGAAAACAGTATGCATGTTGATCATGTATCTCTATATCGATAGGATCGATGTAATTCTTGTCTGGGTGTTGAATCATCGAGGACAATGTTACCGAAGCATCGGCAAACTCATTTTAAGCTCGAGGGACATGCTTGAACTGAATCCTTGTGAATCTCTTACTCAACTCTTTTATGTAATGCAAATAAGGTAGGATCTTGACATTCTTACTGGTCCATTCTCCTTGCACCTGATGAACCAACAAGTCGAAATCTCCTATCACTAAGAGTTCTTTGACGTTCATGTTTATGGCCATCCTAAGTCCGAGAATACAAGCTTCATATTCTGCCATGTTGTTGGTACAATAAAACCTAATTTTGGCTAAGATTGGGTAATAATGACCTGTTTCCGAAATTAAGACTGCTTCTATTCCAACTCCTATAGAGTTTGATGCCCCATCAAAGAACATTCTCCATCCATCATACGATTCTGATATATCTTCTCCTACAAACAACACCTCTTCATCAGTGAAGTAGGTCATAAGTGGCTTGTAATCCTGGGCCACCGGATTTTCTGCGAGGTGATCAGCCAAGGCTTGTCCTTTGATGGCCTTCTGTGTCACGTACACAATATCAAACTCGCTCAACAAAATTTGCCACTTTGCTAGCTTACCTGTAGGTATTGGTTTCTGAAAGATGTACTTAAGTGGATCCATTCTTGAGATCAAGTACGTGGTATATGCCGACAGGTAATGCCTAAATTTTTGCGCGATTCAAGTCAAAGCGCAACATGTCCGTTCCAACAAGGTATATCTTGCCTCGTACGGTGTGAACTTCTTGCTCAGTTAGTAAATGGCTTGCTCTCTTCTACATGTCTCATCATGCTGCCCCAATACACATCCAAATGCATTATCCATGATAGACAAGTATAATAACAAAGGCTTTCCAGGTTCTCGTGGGACCAATACTGGTGGGTTGGACAAGTATTCTTTGATTCTATCGAAAGCCTTTTGGCATTCCTCTGTCCATTTCGTGGCAGCATCTCAGTAATTTGAATATGGGTTCACAGATCACTGTGGATTGATCTATGAACCGACTGATGTAATTTAGTCTTCCCAATAAACTCATCACGTCTTTCCTGGTCTTGGGTGGAGGTAGCTCTTGGATTGCTTCTATATTTGATGGATCCAACTCTATGACTTTCCTGCTAACGATGAATCCCAACAATTTTCTAGCGAGTACTCCAAATGCACACTTTGCTGGATTCAACTTCAGATTATATTTACGCAACCTCTTAAAGAACTTTCGTAAGTCGTCTAGGTGGTCTGAACTTCTTCTGGATTTGATAACGACATCATCCACATATAGTTCAATTTTCTTGTGGATCATATCGTGGAAAAGGGTAGTCATGACCCTCATGTAGGTTGCACCGGCATATTTGAGACCAAATGACATTACTCTGTAGCAATATACTCCCCATGGAGTGATAAACGTTGTATTCTCTGCATCATCTTCATCCATCAAGATTTGGTGATATCCTACAAAGGAATCGACAAATGATTGCAACTCATGTTTTGCATAATTATCGATGAGTATATGAATATTTGGAAGAGGGAAATCATCCTTAGGACTGGCCCTATTGATATCTCGATAGTCTACACATATTCTGATTTTTCCAACTTTTTTTGGCACAAGCACAATATTGGCTAACCATGTGGGGTAATTTGTAACCCTCACAACGTTCGCCTCAATTTGCTTAGTTACCTCCTCCTTGATCCTTAAGCTCAAATCTAGCTTGAATTTTCTTGTCTTTTGCTTAACAGGTAGACAAGTGGGATCAATCGGTAATTTGTGCGAGACAATATCAGTGCTTAATCCTAGCATGTCATCATAAGACCAAGCAAATATGTCAACATACTGCTTAAGCAATTCTATTAACTCTTGCTTTCTTTCAGCCTCTAAATGTATGCTGACTCGTGTCTCTTTCACGATTTTCTTATTTCCTAAGTTGATAACCTCTGTTTCATCCATATCGGGTTTCTTCTGACTTTCAACCTGCTTGATCTCGTGTGGCAGATTTTTAGGAATCATGCTTTCATCATACTCTTCGTGATCTTGTTCATCATTTTCACCTTGCTCGGTGGATTCGTTACATGTTATAACCGTTGAACGAGGACTTTTATTAATATTAGTGCTGAAAAGTGCAAAAGGTAAGTAAAGATAAATAAATATTTAAAATAACGAGAATTTTTTGAAAGAAAATAAAGACTTTTTATTTCAAAGCATTCTAGCTTTTTAGAAGAGGCAAGCAACAAAAGATTAGGCATGATTCAAGCCTCAATTTGATCATGCGAATTTTAAAATTAAGACTACTTTTCCACACTACCAGGACTCTAGTTGTAATAGGGACAGGCTGGTGGTCCAATTCTGTAAGATTTCTCCTGGTTCGGCATCACGAATGGTCAACTTGTTGAGATTTATTCCTTTTTCTTCTCCAGCCATGGCCACGAACCGATTGCCTATTCCTTCCACGATGTCATCAACGCCGGATTGATCTAGAATCAAAGCTTGTTCTGGTACAAAAATTGTATCGCTTGACCCATGGTCTTTTCCCGAGGCAGACTCATATCCGAGTCTGTTGGTGTCTCTCTAATGCTTCAGCTGGATCGGCTCAACTATGCCATTGGACTTAGGTCCAAGTCCACTCTTAGCATGATATCCATACTTCAACACCTCTGATGCAACCATTTTCGCTGCACTTGACAACTTTGTATTACCTCCCTCTACTTCATCACCGACCCTTATAGCTTGCATAATTTCCAAAGTGTGAAAGGTGGCTTCGTTTAACTTGTCAGCGACTGGGATAGAATTAACAGAAAGGATGGGGTGACTGAGCTCTCCGTGGATGGTAACCTCTGTGCGACCCCACTCAAACTTCACATTGGTGAAGAGTGGAAGGAACCGCTCTTTCCATGTGAACCCATGGTCTTCCCAGCAACAGGTTGTAGTTGGATGATACATCCATCACTTGAAATAGTATGGGGAATTCAGCCGGCCCCACCTGCAATGTGAGATAGATATCTCCAATGACAATTCTTTGCACTCCATCAAAAGCTCTAACTTTCACACGACTTTCCTTTATCTTTCCCATATTAACACCTAAATCCCTCAAAGTGGTAAAAAGACAGATGTTGCATCCAGAACCACCATCAATTAGAACTCGAGTTACAACCTTACCACAACGCTTGACTGCGATGTGAAGCACTTTGTTGTGCCAAGCCCCTTCTGCAGGCAGCTCATCATCATGGAAAGAAATCTTGTTAGCTTCCACTATTCTTCCAATCATTGAAGCTAAGGTTTCACTAGTGGTCTCTTTTGGAATATTCACTCCGTCTAACACTTCCATCAAAGCATTCCTTTAAGCTTCAGAACTCATAAGTAGAGACAAAATAGATATGTGGGCAGGCGTCTTCTTCCATTGCTCTTCGACTAAATAGTCTTTAGGCTGCATTTTCTTCCAAAATTCTACGGCTTCAACATCGGTAATATTCTTCTTTGGATTTTGTTCTTTTCCAAGAGCTCTTTGATTTAGATCCTCTAGGGCATAACACCTCCCCGACCTAGTCATCCCTTGAGCCACGACAGTGTCAATCATCTTGACCTTGGCGCGTGCTCGATAGTCCCATGGGACTGCTTTGGTGTCATATTCAGGCTTCTTAGTGATCAGAGTGGTCACTACTGTCGCGCCCCGTTTTTTCTCAAAATGGGTTTTGGTGCAAGACCTAACAACTCTTTTGGGCTTTAGAAAAATTGAACAGTCGCCACCTAACGAATTAAGGCGCGTTAGGGCACCTATCTAACCTAACTAATTCTAGCTAAGGTCAACGAACCAGAGATCAGGGTAAGGGTTCAAATTACCTCGAGGGGAAGGTGTTAGGCATCTCTCGAGGTCCACAAATGTGGGTCCCGACCGTGTCTCATGCAATTTATGTGGGGGTTACAAGTAGCAATTAAGGTCACTTCATTTATTATTTATTTAATTAGCATGATGACTAGGTGATAACTATGATTAAACAATTAGGATTAATTAAATTATCTACTTTATTAATTAAGCATGCAAGACTAGGTGATGTAATAAATGAAAAATAAATATTTAAACAATTAATAAAAGAGGAGCGAGGAGACAGAAATTGCACAATCAAATAGAATAAACAATTTTTATATTTTATTTAAGCTACCCCAAACAAATATAATAATAAACAAATAAAGGGACAAAGGAAAGGGAGACTCTGAAGGACTTTAGGATCAGCACTCGACTTTATTTTATTTTT